CTGGCCCCAGGCTGCAGAGCGCGAAAGCATGTGGCGGCCGTCGCCGACGTCGTGGAAGAGGAGGGTCCTTCTCCTCCTCCTGCTCCTGCTCCTGCTCCTCCTCCTCCTCTTCCTCCCCCTCATCCCCCTCCCCCTCCTCAACACTCATCGCAATCCGGAAAAAAAAACAAGCAACCAAAACTAAGTTTCGCCGGTTAGGGCCGCCAGATACGACTCAAGACAGCAAGCCGGTCCCGAGGAAAGGGTCGAATTTCCGGGGGGGCGTATTTCAGCAAACGAAGCGTCAGATCTCCGCGACCTCCCCCTCCTCCTCCTCCTCTTCCTCCTCCTCTTCCTCTTCCTCCTCCTCCTCCTCCTGCTGGTCCTCCTCCTCATCCTCCTCATGCTCCTCCCTGTTTCCTTATGAATAACTCCTCCTCTTCGCACCCCCGAGACGTGTCGGTGGGCAACATGTGGCTCTCGTCTTAGCGCCGCGCACGTTCATCTCAAAAGTGTGCCACCGATTCACAGAAGGAGGGCGGGCGGTGTTCAACATGTGGCTCTTTCTCTCTCTCTCTCTCTCACTCTCTCTCCCTCTCTCTCCCTCTCTCTACCACTGCACAGACTGTTACGGAAAGTGCGCAACGTGTTCATGGACTCGTATCTCCGAGGTCCCAGGGCTGATACTCTGGCACGATTGAGGACTGCCAGTACCCAGCAGTAATGTTACTTCGCGGTGTTGAAGTCCCAAGAATAGCGTTCTGGTGCGATGTGATAAGACTGTCAAGACGCAACAGTCCCATTGATCCGCGGCGTTGTAATCCCATGAACGGTGTTATGGCACGATTGAAGATTATCCGGCCAGTCTCTTTTAATGGGCCACTTCCAGACATGAAAACAAACACTTCGAGACCAATGAAGGGGGAACTTGCAAGGAGGGTGTCTTGCAACATCGTTGATGCGTCTTGGGTTTGCGCTGGCCCTCCTCATCCTTCTCCTCTTCTCAGACTCCATCCTCCTCCTGCTCCTACTCCTCCTCCTCCTCCTCCTCCTCCTCCTCCTCCACCTCCTCCTCTTCCATCCTACTCCTTTTTCCGCATGCCAGACCCCGTCATCCTTCCCCTCCTCCTCCTCCTCCTCCTCATGCTCCTCCCCCTCCTTTTCCTCCTGTTCCAAACCTTTTTTGTCCAGACCTCCTCTTCCCCCTCCTTCTCCACATCCTCCGCCCTTCCTTCCAGACCTGCCCGCCTCCTCCACCTCCTCCCCCTCCTTTTCCCCCTCCTCCTCCTCCTCCTCATGTTCCTCCTCCTTTTTGTCCAGACCTCCTCCTTCTCCTGTTTGTCCAGACCTCCTCCTCCCCTCCTTCTCCTCCTCCTTTGTGTCCAGACCTCCTCCTCCCCTCCTTCTCCTCAGCCTCCGCCCCCTCCTTCCATCCTGCCCCCCTCTTCCTCCTCCACCCCCTGCTTACGTATCCCCCTCCTCCTTCTCACGTTCCTCCTCCTTCCCCTCCGCCCAGACCTCCTCCTCCCCATCCTCCTCTTCATCCTATTCCTCGTCCTCCTCCTCTTCCTTTCTGTCCAGACCTCCTCCTACCCCTCCTTCTCCTCATTCTCCGCCACCACCTCCAAGACCTGCCCCCCTCCTCTCCTCCTCCTCCTCCTCCTCCTCCTCCTCCTCCTCCTCCTTTTCCCCCTCCTCCTCCTCCTCCTCCTCCTCCTCCTTATGTTCCTCCTCCTTCCCATCCTCCCAGACCTCCTCCGCCTCCGCCTCCTCCTTTTTGTCCAGACCTCATCTTATCCCTCCTTCTCCTCATCCTCCGCCACTTCCTCCAAAGCATGCCCCCCTCCTCCCCCTGCGGCTCCTCCTCCTCCTCCTCCTCCTCCTCCTCCTCCTCCTCCTCCACCTCCACCTCCACCGCCTCCGCCTTCTCCTCCTCCTCCTCCTCTCCACCTCCTCCTCCTCCTCCTCCATTCCTTCTCCTTATCGGTAACTTCTCCCTGTCGCACTCCGAGGCAAGTGTTTAGTGCGGGCCAGACGTTTCGTCTGAGACCTCCTCACCATGTATGCCCCTGAAGCATAAACATTGGCAACAGCTTCACACATGGAGGGCGGGTGGTTTTCAAAATGTGGCTCTCGCCTCAGCGACGCACACATTCGTTTTCAAAATGCACAAGGGTTTCACGGATGGAGGGCGGGTCGTTTTCAAAATGTGGCTCTCGCCTTAGCGCCGCGCACATTCGTTTTCAAAATGTACAGGAGTTTCACGGATGGACAGCACATCGTCTTCAACATGTGGCTCTCTTCAAAATATGGCTCTCGCCGTAGCGCCGCGCACATTCTTGTTAACAAATTTTACAAGAGTCCCACTGCTTCCCATGATCGACGTACCAGAAGTTGTGTTTAAGAGGGATTCACCGTATGGGTGCGCAACAGTTAGAATGATTCGCGGTGTTGAAGTCTCAGGAACGGCGTTCTGGCATGATTCAGGGACGTCAAGGCGCAGCAGTCAAGTTTATCCGTGGCGTTGGAATGCCGAGAACAATGTTTTGGCATGCTTCGGGGTCTTCAAACGGATGTCTTCGAACGAGGCAGGTCCTTCTGTGGAAATGAACCGTTGTTGGGGCCTATGAAGAGGGAGCTTGGGGGGAGGGCTTATTCCACCATCGTTGGTGACCCTTGGTTTTACACTGGGTCTCCTCCTCCTCCTTCTCTTCCTCCTCCTCCTCCTACTCCTCCCCCTCCTCCTCCTCGTCCTCTACCTCCTCCTCCTCCTCCTCCTCCTCCTCCTCGTCCTCCCCCTTCTCCCTCTCCTCCTCCTCCTCCTCCTCCACCTCCTCCTCTTCCTCGGGCGCATTTCAGCAAACAGCACGTCGGATCTCTGCGTCATCCTCCTCCTCCTCCTCCTGCTCCTCCTCCATCGCCTCCTGCTCCCCATCCATCTACCCATCCATCCATCCATCCATCCATCCATCCATCCATCCAACTTCCCCTCCCCGCGCCCCCATGAAGAGGAGGGCAGCGACGAGCAGAACGCAGCTGACGTGCGGCAGCTTCCACGTTTCCAGGCAAGGCGCCACCGAATCTCAAGAGAAACCGACTCTGGGCTGCCCCCCTCCCCTAAGACGAAGCCAGAACGAGGATAATATCGGGTGAAGATAAATCGAGAGTCTCTGAGCCTGGCTGCTCTGCAACATGTCTCGGGCGCCGCGGCCTTCTCACAGCATTCCGGAACACTCTGAAAGCGTTCCGGAACGCTCTGGAACAGAGTTCCCCTCGTCCTTGCCCCGTCCGATCCCCCATTCACCCACTCCCCTCCGCAGGGGGGGTCCGGGAACTCCCCGGCGCTCCTCCTGCGCACTCGGGGCCTCCAAATCCACCACCCGTGACCTCCAAGGTGGGCACGATGCCTTTGCACCTGGCTCAGAAGCGCTCCAACATGGCCGCAAGACGTCCCAAAAGGCCCCCAAGACGCCCCAACACGGTCTCGAGAGACAAAAGCCACTGATTGCCATGTGGTGTTTCAACACCATGTCCGTGCTCTCGCTTTTTCGAGCGGCCCGCGCGGCCTAGCCAGTCCTGGATGCTCCCCAGAGGGCCCCGAGACGGCCCAACGGCCCGAAGGAGCCTGGAGAGGAGAGGGAGAACTCGCAGGGAGCCCAGGAGCCCTCCCCCACCAGATGGCCCCCAAGAGCCCAAGTAAGAGGTCTCCCAGAGGCCCCCAGAGCCACGAAAAGCCTCCGGGAGCCATGAAGAGGCTCCCACAGGGCCGCCCCCGAGACCTCCAAGAGGCCCCCGAGGAGCCCCGCGGCAGACGCGGAGGAAGAGAAGGACAGATCCGCGCGAGCTGCACGCAGGTAGCACGACATGAAGCGGCAAACAGCAGAAGCGAGATCGGAAGCCGCACCTGTCTGGTCATCGCTCGGACGTCCATCTCCTGTGCTTTTTCGGCTTCGTGCGTGGCTGTTTTTTCGCCAAATGATCAAGGATGCTCCTCGATGGCCCTCGCCGAAGGAAAAAATGCACACGTCCGAGCGATGCCAAGCTGTCCTCTGCTAGGGGGGGCCTGCGGGATGGCGGAAGCCTCTTGGATAAACAAGCAGGCGGGCATAAACGTTAGACTTAAGTCGGGCGTGTCCCTCTACAGGAGGTTTATTCAAAAATAGTCAAAAGATAGTCTGGGGACGATTGTTTGATTATTTTTGAACATTGTGGTGGTATTGTTTGACTATTTTTCATTCTTCGTCCAAAATCCCCCTGTAGGGGGACAGGCCCGACCTAACTTCAGACGCGGCCTGCCTGCAGCGCCCCCCGGGGGGGGGGGGGGGGCGTCCCGCACGCGTGCCCTGTCGGTGGGGCGACTCGACTCCGTCTCTGGTCGGCTGCATCGCTGGCAGGCCGGGAAGCAGGCGAGCCAGCGCGCAGCGGGGGAAGGGGAATCGGAGGAGGAGGAGGAGGAGGAGGCGAATGACGACGCCGTCCTCCTCATCCTCGTCCTCCCCCTCACCCTGTCCTCCTTGCCCTCCCTGTCCTCGTTTCGTGTCGCCACAGCCTGGGAAGCTCACAGAGATGGCTAGACGATACTACACACAGGAGCTAATCATGTCTTACCTTGTTTATCCTCCCTCTCCTCCATACCAGCTGCTCATCATCCCCCGGCTTCATCGCCCCCATCAAAATATAATTTCCCTTCGTCTTTCATCTCCTCCTCCTTCTCCTCATCGTTCTCCTTTTCCTCACTTGCACCCTGGTCCTCCCGTCTTTCTACGTTCTTCCTCCACGGCGCTATCGTCTCTCTCGCTCTCTCTCTCTCTCTCTCTCTCTATCCCTCTCTCCCTCTCTCTCTATCTTTTTGTTCTCTCTCTCTCTCTCTCTCTCTCTCTCTTTCTCTCTCTCACTCCCTCCCTCCCTCCCTCTCTCCCCCCCTCCCTCCCTCTCTCCCTCCCTCCCTCCCTCTCTCCCTCCCCCTCCTCCTCCTCCTCCTCCTCCTCCTCCTGCTGCTGCGCTCGCACCGAAAGAGGCGA